GTAGTTAATTCTGTTAGGGAAAAATAGCAACTAATTACAAAGGCAGGAAATCTGTCATAATATGTCATCTCTTCTCAGAAAGACCAGAGGAAAAACAGCATGAAATAATGAAAAATAACTATATCATACTGAAAGTGAACATATTAACTAATATTGACTTGCAGAAAAGGGATCTCTGAACATTGTTGGAGGGAGAAGGTCATTTGAAAAAATGTATTAATTCATGACAGCCAGCCATCACTTCAGAATTCATGGTTATATTTTAAAGAAAAATGGAGAATATATTGAATCATGAACTATAGGCACTCAGAAGTGGTACAGGGATAAAATACAGTGAGTTTAAATATTTCAGTGGTAAACTTCCAAATGAAATCTGTAATAAGTCAGGTGTGGTGGTGGTTCCTGTAATACCAGCAGAGGCAGGCAGATCTCTGTGAGTACAAGGCCAGCTTAGTCTACATAGTGAGTTCCAGGCCTACTTGGGCTATAAAAAGATGCCATTCAAAAAGACAGAAAATCAAAACAAAAACAAACACAAAGCCCTATAATCATCCTGAAATCCAGTGTGGAGTCAAGGACTTTCCCAATGTATGCTGAAAGCCTGAAAACTGAAACATGAGGTAAGTATTAAATGGGGGCATTCACAGTGCCTTTTGTGTTCCCAGTCTTTTTTTTCTTTCTGTTTTTTTAAGAAGGAGTCTTCCTGTAGCCCCAGCTGTCCTGGAATTCACTATGTAGATCAGGCAGGCCTCTAACTCACAAAGTTCCACCTGCTTCTGCCTCCAAAGTGCTGAGATTAAAGGCTTGTGACACCACACCTGGAAATTAAGGTAATCTCAATCTTTTTAGATTATTTCAAATTGAAACTGAATTTTATCTATCTTCTCTTATATTATCAGAGAGTCCATTGTGGATCTTTTTCATCTGATCTACAACTGAGAACATTTATTCAGGAAATAAAACATTAAACTTTGGCTCCATCTTCAGAGCTTTCACTCCAGTATCCATGGGGCTCAGAGACTAACAGACAATGGCAAGACTGAGCCATGAGAGGGAAGGTCATGACATCAGAAATCTCATCTCATGGCTGGCGAGAATTATAGAGAGAAGGAAGGTGCCTGAACAAGACACATCCTCCAAACCACAGCTCTGGGAACTGTATCCTGTCTGTGAAGAATTCAGAAGTCAGAAAGATTATGAATGAACAAGTATATGAGCAGCCTGAGAAAGTATGCATTCAAAGAAGCCAGGACTGACATGCACACACACACAGGACGATGTGCAAACTTCCAAAATCAAAGACCAAATGAAGAACTGCAGTGGACCATATGATAAGTCTTAAATATTGTACCCGGTCAATGTTTCACAATCTCTTTTCTGACCAAACTGGAACATAGACATCAACAGTAGGTAGCAAACAGAATAATCCCCAAATGAGATGTAGACAGTCCCAAATATTTAACACATTCTTATTTAAAATGGGCAGAGAATATAGAATTTCATGCTATATATATATACTATGTGATTCTCACTGAAGTCTTACAATCATTTTCAGAAGACATACATAAGCAAGTATAAAACAATGAAAAAACATGAAGAATCAGAATGGCATAAACATTTTCAAATGAGGAACAAAACAAGACAAAAAATTTACTAATTTCATGATATGCTAAAAACTTGAGTCGATAGACCTTAATATCAGACCTTAATATCAATCACAGAATGCATGAGATCTGGACGGGGAGAATAGGTCGAGTAGCAGGTATAAAGCTGATTAAGGTTTTTGTTTTATTTTATTTTATTTAATGAAATGTACAATAAAAAAATACACATTCAAAAAACTGTAGTACAGGAAGAATTCATAGGAAAATGAATCAGCTACTAGTTTGCATTAGCAAGAAATGTGACATGGGAAATAAGGAAAAATTAAATAAATGCTCCAAATAATTTCTCAGTTTCTATTTTAGGACAGACTCATTAGAATATAGAGGAATTCTTTCAGTTTTCATACACTGAGTTCTATCGACGATTCAAAATGCAGCTATGGAAATGGAACCTTAAAGATTCTGGCTGCAGCATCATATATTAATGGGAGGCTGAAATCAACTCCAAAAATAATGAACAGTAATAATTGCTCTATAATCAAAAAATAATTCCTCTAACAAGTGGAAATGATGCACAGATATTCCCAATATTCTAATTTGTAAATTTAAGGAATCCAAGACCTACACAGCAAAACTAACGTTTGTACAAAGTAGACCGTTGTCTATGAAAGGATGGAGAACAGTAAAAATACTGATAGAAAAATGTCCTCACCTACAGATACCAGATTGCTGTAGTTCTCCAACATCACCTCCCTGTACAAAGCCCTCTGAGCAGAGTCTAGGCATTTCCACTCCTCCTGGGAGAAGTCTATGGACACATCCTTGAATATCAGTGGATCCTAAAATGAAAAATGTCAGTGAGACCATGTGCACTTAAACAGGGCATTGGACCCAAGAAAGAAACAGCTAATGAGTAAAGGACTTCTGAATTAGATGAGAAACGTGAATTATTGAAAAGGATATTTCTTAATCTAGTAACTATCTATAATCTACTTGCTAAATGTGTGTAAAAAAGAATAGCATCAGATCCCCAAACTTTTGTGAAGATTATGATGTTAAGGAGCACAGTACATAAATGAAGCCCATTTCCCTCCTATATTTGCAGCGCAAAAGATCAGTTGAATATTTATGTGATGTAAAGTCACACTGAAATATAATTCTCTTCATGAATTCAATCTGGTGTCTGCTTATAACCATGCATTGTAGGCATAGCTAACACATAGATTTTTTTACCTTAACATGACCTGTGGACCTGATATAATCCTTTCTGAAGAATTTGCAGTGAGGCCAGTGACCCAGCTACAAAAGAAAATTTCTCCAAAAGCACTAGTGGAACATGGTGGAAGATAAATAACAATGTGTGCTCTCCATCCACAGCAAGAAGACACGATCCCTGTAAAGAAATTCTATACCCTGCACGTAATG